CCGGCCCCCCCCTGGCGGCGCCCCTCCCCCACCAGCCAGCCGGGGCTGCTGCCGGCGGTCAGCAGCTGGCAGTGGTTCCCGGCCGGCAGCAAGAACGACCGCCTGCTCCTCTGGGAGCTCCCAACCCCCCCCCGGCCACTGCCAAGCATTTCTGGCCAGCAACCTCAGATGTTTGGGAAAACAAACTGCATGGGAATTAGCTCCCAAGTATTTCCTCAATTCTGCCTGCTATGAAGAGAATTTTATTTTGCTACCCCCAGGAGGAAGGAAGAGGGCCTGGTGGAGTGTGCAAAGGAAATCTGTGCAATAACTCAGGGGGGCTGGCTCCAGAGTGCTGCAATCCGCAGGGGCTGGCCGGCAATGCCCACTGCTCATCCGCTGCCACCAGGACCTCTTGGCCTGGGGCGTGGGGAAGCACCACGTCCCCATGGGCTTTCTGTGGCCCTTTGCAGAGGTATCATCTCAGCAGGTCCCAGCCTGCTGTAGTTAAGCAGTCCCCTGGGTTCAGCCCACAGGGATTGCCCTGCAACACAGGCTCTCACAGAGTGGCACCTCCCTGAAGGCACCAAGGACTGGTTTGAGCATCCACTCACCCACCACCGTAGCAAAAGCCAGGGCTCCCACCAGTTACACCATGCCCCGTGGCTTATTTTACCTCCTACTTTATGGGTAGGGAACAGCGAGGGGCTCTGGGAGCCAAGCACCGCTCTTGTACTTCCCAGCCCTGTAGATAACCTTCACTCGCAGAAATAACGTGACTAAATATAGCCCTGCTCCTTCTGCAAGCTGAGCCGTGAGGGAGGAACGGGGCAGAGACAGCCCCTTCCCGGCCTGGCTGCTGTGGGAGGAGAGGCTTGCCGCAGGGCAGAGTCTGCACCCTGCTGCAGTGCCAGCCCTGCAGCGAGGGCCCCCGTGCTCTGCCCTTACAAGCAAGGCAATTACATGACTTCTAGCCTGAGTCACTTTATAGCTTAATACAGGGCAAGAGCAAGTTTGTCCTCCTGAACCCACGCACACCTTCCTCCTTCAGCTGCACTTCCACAGCCATGGATCCTAGGAGCCAAGACAGGGCTGACACCCAGCTCCAAACAGCACATCGCAGAGGGGACAGAGCACAGAGGCCACCCTTAGAAAACAACTGAGGATTTACTACTGAAGTGTTCCCAGCCGGCCACGTCTTAAGCAGCAGGAAATGATTTAAGCATTTTTTTCCTTAGAAGGGACTGGCACCCTGCCCTGGCAGGGCTGGTTACGGTAACACCCGTGTCAGCTGCGGTGGTACCGCAGCCCAGGGCAGACAGCAGAGCGCCTGCCCAGGGGCCAGGGGAGGTTGGGAGAGCGGAGGCTGAGGATTTCTCACTGCAGAGGACTGAGGCTCCTCTCAACGGAGCCATGGGCAGCGCTGGGTGGCTCCCACCACCACAGCCCCCTGCCCAGAGCAGCCAAGCACCCTGCCGCACCCCAGAAAACACCAGCCCACACAGGGAAGGGAGCAGAGCAGGGCTGGCAGCTTGTCTGTACCTACAGAAACACAGGCAGCTCCTTAGGGTTGATTTATTGCAACATGAACCCCTTATTGCATTTATGAAAAGTTACTTGGCTTTACAGTATCACAGCTCACCACTGTACTACAAAATCCTTTTGTACGAAATACTCTGTTGGCTTTATAAAGTTACTCTACAGCATAAAAACATCCTGGCCTACTTTCTGTGAGATTTGGACCCAAATGAAGCCCCAAGTGGCCCTGTAGCCGAGGGAGCACAAGGAGAGCAGCCGCAGGACCAGGGGCTCTGGGGACCCCAGGGCAGCTCAGGCAGGAGGACCTTCATTTACCCCCGTTTGGTTTTGGCCGCCGTCAGTGCCAGGCCCACAGCCGTGGCCCTGCTCAGCTCGTGGAGGGAGGCAGCGGGGACAGACAGACAGGAGAGTCCACCCGTCACTCACGAAACAGACATTTAAGTGCGTGTCTATCACACTCGCAAGAAAGAGGGATCTCAAGGCTTTCACAGGCATCTTGTAAAGACGGGCAGGGGAACAGAAACATTTCTGAAACCAGAGTGCACGGGAAGACTCAGCTGTGACCATGCCAAACCCCAACCAAAGCCTCCTCTTGCAGCTGAGGAGGTGAGAAGAGGGCAGGGAAGGGGCATCTCAATGGGGAGCAGCTTTCAGTCGGTGGGACCCGCTCAGCGGGAGCCTTGGGGTGCTGCAGCGGCTGGTGGAGACCCAGGCTCTGCCACAGCCCCACTCACCTCTCCCAAAAACTGACCCAAAAGAGATGTCCTCTGGCACACAGAAGTGTGATTCTAGGAAAGAAGTTCAAGATTTGATGGGTAAATTGTAAAAAAAAAAGTTTATTTGAAAAAAAAAAACCCTCAACCTCTTACATGATTTCTGATCAACATTTATAGAACTTGAGAGCCATTAACCTGCTCCACGTACATTGAGATATTTTCCAGCCTAAAAAATAAAAAATAAATACATACAAATTCTTTCCTCCCCCTTACATGTACTAGATGTGAGTGGTTAGGCATCCACCGCCTTAAGATCTCAGTTGAACAGAAGCAAGTAAAAGAGGTTTCTCTAAAAGATAAAAGAGCAAAAGCAGAAGGCCTGTCTCAGGGATGTACCATCTCCACCTGCCCCCTCTGCTCTGCCCAGGGTCAGGCACCCGAAACACCCATCTGGGTGGGATGGATCAGCACAGGGATGCTCCGGTGGAAACCCACCCCAGCACCCTGACCCAGCACCACCAGCCGAGCCCTGGCATTCGCACCCGTTTCACATTACCCAGTCAGTGGGGTCTGGGTCAGTCTGAGAAGAGGCACCGCCAGGGCAGAGTCGGGGGGCAGGGGGGACCCCAGCCCTTCCCACGGAGGGCTTGGCTGCAGGAGCCGGGCACACAGGGGCTGCCATGGCCCCGGAGTGGGCGACGCTGCCCAACCTGAACCACAGCCATCCTTCTCCAGCCTGAATATCCCATGAGAGCACAACTACGAAAGAGGAATTTTAAAGAACTACAGTAGCTAAAGTGTTTTCAAAACATACCTAAAGACCACCTACAGAGCCAGGAGGCACCCGGCACAGGAGCCGAAGACCACCCTGCCCTGTGCCCGGATCTCCCCCTCCGCGGAGGGCCTGCGGTAAGAAGCGTGTGAAGCAGTATTCATCCGGGGCCGGCCCTGAAGCCTGTCATGCTTCAATAAATCCAGTATCCTGCTTTATATGGCTTTTTAACAACAAAACTCCCCAAAAAACACACATACACACATCCCGCCCCCCCCAGCACAATACAGAGCTAAAACAGTTTAGAGTTAAGGCTCATCCAGATTCAGCTAGATATGAAGACTGTAAGGCACGTATTAGTACATTCATGTTACTGTTAAAAAGCCAGACTATAAAAAGCCCCCCTGCCCCCCGACACACAAGGATACTGCGTGTGTAGCCCCGTTACCTTTGTTGAACACAGATGGAAAGACAATTCAGAGCCTGGTTAAAAATGAACACCTGGTTTAAACACTTCTCACGGCTGCCCAGCGCCAGCGGAGCACTGTCCCAGCCACTGCACCAGAGCAGCGGCGCTTCCCCGACACTCCGGGATTGAGACCGGTCCCTCACATATGGCTCTCCTCCTCTTTGACACCATCCTCCGTGCTCTTCTGAGGCGAGGGGGCCATGTCGTTGTTTGCCTCTTTCTGCTTCTCAGCCTCGTCGACGTTGGTCTCCTCCTCCTTCCCTTCGTTCTTCACCTTCTCTTCCGCCTTCTGCTCCTTTGCCACCAGGCGGTAGTTGATGCCCATCCCAATGAAGAGGTAGATCCCAGAGACAATGAGGATGATCCCACAGGCCCAGTATGTGTACTTGTAGTCACCGTACATGTCATTGAGCTTCCCTGAAGGACAGAGAGGGGACAGCTTAGTGAGATACCCCCAGAACTGCTCCAGGTTGTGGAGATGTTCTCAAGAGCAGCCCAAGCCCATCACCCTCAGCTTCAGGCCTTTATTCCTCCAACCCCTGCTCACCCACCCTGCACCAGGAGCTCAGCCTCCACCTCCTCAGCCATCCCTCAGATGCCAGGGTGGCCTCAGGGCCAGTGCTTGCCCCCCTAGCCCCTGCCCCAGTGCCGAGGGCTGCCCACGGCTCGGGGGGCCCTGCCGCCGCTCAAGCAAGGCTGGGCAGGATGGGTAGAACTCCCCAGGCACAGCCCGCCCTACCTAGCAGAGGGGGTCCCAGAAGCACAGGGCAGCACTCCACGATGGTCACCAAACCAACGGCGCTGGAGAACCGCTGCGCTCCCACCAGGTCCATCAGGGTCTCAAACAGGACTGAGCTCAGCCAGCCGAAGGCAAAGCCGAAGAAGCCAGCATAAATGCAGAAGCCGGCATAGGTGGTGGACATGGGGGCCAAGAGGTGGCACACCCCGTTGTAAATCACAGAGATGGCGAAGAAATACTGGACTCTGGGTCTGATCCACTTGGTGTTTGCCACCAGTCCCATGGAAGGTCTGGCCACCATGTCTACGAAGGCCAGGATGGAGAGCAAGAAGGCTGCAGACTCATTAGCAATCTTCTTGCTCTTCGCGTAATTGCTGAGGAAGACCAAGGGAGTGAACAGCCCGAAGAACATAATCACATTGCCCGATAGATAGAGCAGGAAGCCCCTGTGCGTGAACAGGGACAGGTCCAAGAATTTGTTGATTGTCTGGAAAAACGTGCTCTTCTCTTTCTTGGTCTTCCCACCGATGAGGTCGGTGCTGGTGTCACCATCGTCCTTTTTCACTGCCTTCCCAGCTTCCTGCAGCACCTCCTTAGCAGCCTCTTTCTTCAGCTGATCTGGCTTGGGGCCTATGGGCCTCATCAGGGATCCGGCGACGCAGCAGTTCAGCAAAAGACCACCGAGGATGAGGAAGCTGCCACGCCAGCCAAATATGCCGAAAAAGAGCTGGTTCACGGGCGCCAGGGTGGAGAGGAACACGGGGCTGCCCGCCATTGCCAGCCCGTTAGCCAGGGGACGCTTCTTGAAGAAATACTTGCCAATCATGGTCAAGGCTGGGTTCAAGTTAAACGCGAGTCCGAGGCCTGAAGGAGAGGAGAGACAAGGGGCTCAGAGCTCGACCACCCCACAAGCCAGCAGCACCAGCAGAAGGGCTGGTGGGACGAGTGGGGTTTCACAGCTCTTTTGGCTGTATTAACTTTCTTGATTGCAAGAGCAGCACTCGTCCCCCACTGCTGACTTGGGAGGAAGCACCAGGGCAGCGGCGAAGCCACACGCAGGAATTCGGGAGCCAGAAGGGGAAAACCGCCCCGGCTCGTGACAAACCTTACGTCGACTGGTGGGGCACAACCCCAGCCCAGGGCAGGAACAACGGATGCTCTCTATTCTCAGTACCAAATACTAGTCCTGTGTACAGTCACTAGGATGGTCTCCCCACGTTATGTCACTGGGGTCATCTCTTATTAGAATATGTAACAGGAATCAGGATTTATGCAAATTCATCATAGGCATTCCCTAATAATTACTGGGTTTAAGTTGCTCCTCTTGCTGCCTCAGGAGAGGCCTTAGCTCTGTTGCAGCCCCGTTAGGGCAGAGCCACCACTTACCCCCTACGACCCCAACGCAGAAGTAGAGCTCCTCCACCGTGTTGCAGAAAGAGGCTGCAATCAACCCACACCCGGAGAGGCAGCCACCAGCGATCATGATGGGCCGGCTGCCGTATTTGTTCACCAGGATGCTGCTGATGGGACCTAGGAAGTCGAAGGAGATATGCCCAGAGACAAGTTATCTTTGCACAAGAGACAAGACAGATGCACACAAGCACACAAGAGGTTTATTGCCACAGGCTTCCAGCTTTCACACAGTGACACTTCACCCAGGGAGGGAACTGGGGTAAGGGGAAAGGACAGGAGGATCAGAGACAGCTGGAGATAAGAGTGACATTTGGATAGAGCACACACAGGACCCCAGCCAGGGAAGTGAGCCTCCAGCCAGCGCCAGCACGCCACAGCTTCTGCCGAGGGCCAGAGGCTGTTTATGGCTGCAGAAACCTGCAGCTTCTCTGAGCAAGCAGCCTTCTGCAGGCTAAGCTGGGAGCTGCCGGGGCACCAGCCACCCCCCGGGGACAGGGGTTTGGGACAGGGTGAAGCCACCTGTCCCGCACAGTGCTCTGCGCTGGGGGCCCTGCCCCCCAGCCACCCGCCTGCCCACCATGGGCTGAGGTCTCAGCAGCAAAGCAAGTGTGTGGCAACCGCCCATCTCCAGCGAGAGGTTTCTGACGGAGACCAGACAAAGCTGTGAAGAAACAGCTTCAATGGGCACAGGCGAAGCTCCCCGAGGGCTTGCAGGGAGCCCCGGGGAGAAGAGGTGCTTCTGTTTTCACTGCTACCTCTAGGTAGGAAGAGCCCAATTGCTCTGCACACCCGCCTTTTAAGTGCTTCATTATCAAGAGCTTTAATCCAAAGCAAACAGTGATTAGATACTGCAAAGCACCAGCTCTACAGACACTAAAATGTATTTAAATAAACTGAATGGACATCCATTGAATATTAACAGACCTAGTTTTGCCATTAACAGATAGCAAGGTTGTCAACATGTTATTCATGGGTCCTCAGACACTACTTGACCTTTTTGCCCAGTTTAAACAAAGCCTGGAGAAGGTTACAGAAGCCCAGCTACTGCAGAGGCTGCCCCCAGCCCCACAGCATCCCACTCTCCACAGCTGGCACGGTGCCTACGGGCCAGCCAGAGCAGCCCACGCCAGCGGCTCCAACCTGATGCCATCGGGAAGGGGCCATGGCCCCGGTGCCATGAGAGGCAGCAGCAGTGCCCGGGGGCTGCCACATCACCCCAAGCCCCACACGCTTCCCCACAGAGAGCTCAGCACTTTGCAAAACCTGTACCTTGAACTTGGCAAACGTGATGCCTCTGGACAGAGTCTAGAGGCGGCAGCAGCCTTTCCTCCGGGAAATCCAGCCCAGAGCAGCAGGCTCCAAGGGCAGCTAGCAGGAAGCCGCCCGGCTGGGCAGCACCATGTACCCTAGTGGCAATTCCACCCTCTATTTTTTTATAATTAAAAGAAAAAAAGAATTCACACCCACTCCTATTTTATAGATTCACATGAAGCATTTCTGACCAAATGTTAGCTGGTCTATTTTGATTATTCACACTGTGAAAAAAGTATAAGTAATGGAACCAGAGTCCTCCCTAATCCTAATGTGGAGCTGAGAAAGGGGCATTTGAGATCATTACATTCGTGTACCCTGATGGTGACTGCATGGGGCTGCAGGACGTGCTGCTCCACCGCCCCCAGCCCTGCCCAGGACAGGAGCTACCCCAGCTCTGCAAGATACCATCAGCCCAGGATGTTTTGCCAGAGCATGAGCTACTCTTTTTGCCTCCAAGCAAGCACGCAGTTCCTGCGGGAAGGTGCCCTGCGGGATGGGGAGAATAGGATGCACGCTGTGACCGCTCCAGAGCGGTTCAGACCCCACAAAGGGTCTCGGCCCAGGCTCCAGGAGCCCTGGAAGGAGGGAGTGGGGCAGCAGCATGTTCCTGTGCTCTGGCAGGCAGGGGATGCACCTGGGCAGGTCTGGGGTACCTTCAGCATCCCTGCCACCGGCTTACAGGCAAGCAGTTCAAGACCGGCAAGCTGCTGAGATTTAATGGCAACAGTCCAAGGGGAGCAGGAGAGAGTGTCAGCATGGAGGGAGGGGGACAGGGGGACAACCCCAGGACTGGAGGAGGGAGCTCTCACCCCAGCTGCCAGGCAGCTCCAGGCAGTGCTGCCCCCAGGGTGCCCAGAGGAACCAGCTCTGAGCTATTAGGAGAGGAGGAATGGCCCAGATTGAGTCTCATTAAGGCAGTTACACAGTTTACAAGCTTGTTATAACATCGGAGCAGGGAAATGTGCTGGTCGCTTCACTAGCTGAGCGAGGACAAAGCAGAGTCTGTTCCCCCAAAGCAAAAGCCTCATGCCTAGCTGGGCACCGACGTCAGCTCCTTTCGATGCACAAATGCAACGAGGACGTGGGCAGCTCGCCAGCTGGGGATGGCAGTGGTACAAGCTCCGATTTTCCTCTGAAGTGGACACAACAGCAGGCTCCCAATAAGAGTTTCTTTCAGCTGAGCAACCCAGTGCAAAGCTGCGTTTGCAGGCGGGTACGAGACACCGGGGTCTGGAAACCAGCAAGACGAGGGCCGGGAGTGCATCACTCTGCCTGCTCCTCGCCAGTTAAAGACAAGCATAAAGCACACAGCTTGGGGATTAAGAGACTCCAAGAAGCAGCTTCTGAAGGATGGAGGGGGGGAGCTACTTCAGTTTAAGTCGTTTTGCTTTATTCTGCTCATGTCTCTGTGCTGCCAGTGCACACTGCCACCCTCACACAGCACAAGCTGCCTACGGCACTGCTTGGCACCAGCGAGGAAGAACAGGCAGCGCCAGGTTTCAGGGCACTCCAGAGCACAGCTGAGCCATCAGAGCTGACCAGAAAACGGAGACAGATCCCTAGATACAGCCACTGTTCACTGGACTCAAAAAATTTAAAAAACAATGTCTTCTCTAAAAGATAAGCCCCCCATGAGCGGGGTCCTATGCATGGCACAGCAGCTCCCCTGGCCTTCGGGCAGGCACTGGAAGCAGACACAGCGTCCACAGCACACTGTAACAAGGACAAGGGCAGAATTACACAAGTCGTAATTCCCCGGAAAGATTTTACTTACAGCTTTGCAGAGGAGGACAGATTAACCCGGTTTTTGCATTCTGGGCATTAAATAGAACTTTTTAAGCAACCTCCTTCAAGCAAACTCACTAAGGGAAGTTTTGCTCTCACATAAGGAGAGAATTCCAACCTCTAGCAAAGTTTTGGTTGTCATCGCTACAGCAAGGTGCAAACCATCAGACCCAGCAGGAGAGCCGTGTCCTGTACTGCAATGCACGAGCATGTGTACTGCTGCCTCCAGTCCACTTACCTCCTGCGTACATAACAGCCAGCATGATGGAAGAGATCCATGAGACTTTGCTACTGGACGCGTTGAAGATGACTTCAATCTCTTTGAAGAACACGGTGATGGATTTGGGGAAGGCATAGGAAAACCCAATGGAGATGAAGGCTCCAATGACCACAGCCCATCCCCATCCTCCTTCAGGAGGAGTGTATCCCACAGGGCCTCCGATGGCCGGTGGCATCTTGAACCAAGTTGGCGATGACTCAGTTGGGGTTCAAAGATCTGCAAAGGACAAAGTATTGCCTCAGCTGAAAGCAGACGGCTGCATCCCCGCTCCCTGGCACGCAATGGCACGGCTCAAGCCCTGCTCACAAGGCTGGCACAGCACCCGTGCCCCAGACCACCGCCAGGAGACCGATCCGAGAGGCGAGCACTCGGGGCTCGCCAGCACACTGGCCTCATAAGGCCATCCCAAAACACATGCTCAGATTGCGGCTGGCCTTTAAGAGCCCTAGCCAGCAGGTATTTATAAGCAACAAAGTTAAGATATAATACCCTGTCCTAGGCTGAAAAGGGCAGGCAATGCCCTTGCCAGCAGCAGCCAGGGCACAGCGGTGAAGTGGGCAGCGCAGGGCTGGACCTGCGGAGGGCTGAGCAGGGCAGCGGCCGGTCTGGTCGGGGCTCACCTGCCTGGGACAGAGCCCCTGCAGCTTCTCCAGCAGTGCGATCCCAGCACCACCCCGGTGCACTGCAAAATCTCAGGAAGCCTCAGGCCACCCGGAGCAGGAGCAGCACACCCAGGTTATTAAATGCAGACACACCAGGCTAAATAAATCCACACGCATGAGCCAGGACACCTCCATTTCAGCAAAGAAAGAGCAGGCAGGTGTCACAGCACACCCGCCAGCCCGGCCGGCCCTGAAGGTCACAGGCTGTGGCTAAACTTAGCCTGAGCAGTGACCGGGGAAGGCTCCCGCGCTGCTAGCATGGCCCAGGGAGGGGAGGTGGGTGCGCCCGGAGCAGCCCCAGCCCTGCAGAGCCCAGCTCCCCGGGGGCTTGGCCCCAGCAGGGTACCCCCAACCCAGCTGCAGTCAACCCCTCCTCCCCCACTGAAAAGGCTACGGCAGGTTTCACGAAAGCACCCAAGTGTAAAAACAATTCACCTTAAAAGCTCAAAACCAGAAGGTATTAGAAAACAAGATAGATGGGGAAATGTCATCCAGGCTTGCTCAAGTGTGGAATCCCCTTAGAGAGGCCGAGCAGGGAAAGGCTGATTTGGAATAATGTGGAGACCGGCAGGGTCGGGCTGCTCATGCCTTCTCCATGCTGCAGCTGCTGCACAGCTGGATCACACCCTGGAGCTGCAGTTACTCAAAAAATAAGGCTGCTTCAGGCAGCAGAGAGTGGCACAAGCCGTCCCAGGGAGGAAACGCAACCAGGGCAGCTGCTCACAGACATGGTTTACAATATGCAAAGCAACAGGAATTGCTACAGTCCCCAGAACTCCTGTGCGCCCCCGCAGATTTTAGAAGACGCTTTCTGACACCCCGTGGCCCTCCCCAGCCCCGCAGCCAGAGACACAGACACACACCCCCCCCCCCCCCATGTTAAGCACCATCAGCCAAGGTGGGGACATCGGGCTCCTTTTCCAGAGCCCACCCCTTGCTCTGCAATTCTCTGCTCTGCTGTTCAGGTTTCCACTTGAAGAAAAAGCCACCTTCGAGCAGGAGAGCTTTCTCCAGAGCTCCATCGGGTCACACCAGGCACAGCAACAACTTCAAAACAGCGTGCTAGCGCGGAGAGGTGCAACCTCCTATTTATAGCATGCATCCGTTCAGGCTCACAGCGATTACCATCTCATCGACGGCTGCTGACATACCAGCATCTACCCGGCATGTCCCCTCGTGCCCTCAGCGCGCCACACAGTACCACAGGCGCCCACTCCGTGTCACTTTGGTACAGATCCGAGGCCAGGATCCAGGCGTCCCAGCTGAAGTGCAGCCGGTAGCCCCGAGCCGTGGGGAGCCCCCCGCTCCCACCCGGCACTGGAGGCACAGGCAGCAAAGTTACCTGATACAGCACCGGGTTTGCCAGAGCCACCCGACACCTGGACGCACTCAGGTGATGTCTTGGACCCACGCGGGACAAGAGGAAGCAAAGTACAGGAGGCCAGTTTCTGTAAGCCGTTTAAGACTGGTTTAGGCCGACCCAGACACCGATTTTTTCGCTGGTGGGGTATTTTCCTGCATCCCGGCCAGGGCGACACATGACCATCACAAGCAGATCCGAGCCACCCGGCTGCTCCAACAAAGGAATCATTTACAAGACGCTACCCCGGGCACGTCCGCGGCTGAACTATGCCCAGGAGCTAGAGAAGCTGATTTCCTCTCTCGGACCCCCGGGGACCGCAGCTGTGCCGAGCGGCCCATCCGACACCCAGCCGAGACCACACCAGCGGGGTCCGGCTGCAGGCAGGCCCCCACGGCAGAGCCTGGAGCCAGCACGCACCCACGGCCCCCACCGGCAGTCGGGGAGGAAAGTGCCAGGCTGCGCAGAGGCTCACCATGTACCTTTGGCCTCTTGGTATGGGGAGCAGCACAGCCACCTGTTCATGCTCTTTCTGAAAAGCCGGTATGAACACTGGGTTTTGCTTAACATCACTTTCCCACACAGGCTGCACACTGGAGTTTCCAGCCACCTCTTGCTTTGAGTCATACTGAGCTTTCACAGCATTCAGTCAACTTTAAAGCATCATTAACTAGACTGATTTGTCTGAAACATTTTTAAAAGATGAGACTACCAGGTGCTGGCAATAAAAACTACAAGCAAGGAATACAATCTACTTGTTAGCACTAATTAAAATTACTGGCAATTAAAGCTATCCAAAGCAAAAGCTGGGGGGTGCTGATGAGGTGTTGGGGATTTTTCCCTTTTGCTCCTGAGACACACACAGAGGTTTAATTCTTCCACTGCTCCTGATGAGCTCAACTGCACCGAAATTACTGCAGCTTGGGTCATCTATTTCTTCTTTCCCTGCAAGCAGCATTCCTCCTTCTGCAGGTGCTCAGGTGGCATCTCTATAAAATAAAAGACTTTTGGTGGGTTAGACATGACCTCTCTTGCCTTGCTGAGGCACAGGGAAAAACCTTGAACTGAACAAGGTTTGAGACCATGAAGCAAGATTCCCAAAGCCTGACGCCAGAGGGTTTACATGAGTTCTGCATGCCACAACATTTTTCCCTGACTCATTGAAAATCCTTATTAAGAAAGACCAGTTTTAGAAAGCTCTTTCTTCAACCGCATTAAGGCTTCTTGCTGATTTCCTCCTTGCCCCCACACAGTAGTTTCAAACGAGAGAGAAAAGAAGCACATGTAAGGCAGCCAGTTCAATTGGAAAGCTTCCCTCCCCTTTGCAAAAAGGAAAAAAAAAAACACGAACGTAGTTATGACATTTACAGCTCTGTTTTGGAAGAGCTGCAACATGTAAGATGTGTTTGGAAATCAAATTCACAGCTGCCAGGCAGCCAGCTACAGTTTGCCCTATTAGGAAATAAAATAACCATATTTGCAGTAATTAAGACTGATGAGACCAAGTAATGACTGCAAGTATCACATCTGCTCCCCATAAATGTCTTGACTACTCCACAGGAATGGGTAGCCTGCAGCAAACTTCCTCTGCCCAGCAATGGCGAGTGCACGAATTGAGGCTACTTAGGCAACAAGGACTGTATCATCTTCCAACAGATCCCGCAGAGGACTAAAACACTTTCCATCTCCTAAGTCCTACACACAAGCACTGTTATCCCTTCTCCGGAGGGGCCTGGAACAGGAAGATTTCAAGACTTTTAGTTACATAATGCGGCAAATTGCCGCGCTTTTAAAAGCCCCGGATTGGCAGGGCTCCAGAGTGGAGAGACAGAGGCTCACATTTATAAAGCGCTGCAAATGCCACAAAATATTTCTGGGGCAAACCCTTTATGAAAGTGTCCTCACACCGCTCCTTTTCAGGGTCAAAGGAAGAGGGACATCCCCTGCCCAGGCAGGGGGCCGTGCCGGGCACCACGCACCTCTGCCTCCCCTCGCACATCCCTCCAGCTCAAGGCTTTCCTACTCCGGGCATACGCTCACCTGGCATTTGCTGCCATGTCAGTTTGCAAAACCTTTCCCACAGAGCCAGGAACTTGGAGCGGCTGGCAGCGCTGAGGCTGGAGAAGGGCAGGCAGCAGAGCCCCAGCTTCTCCTCCCGCAGCCCATCGCCACCCCGGAGCCTGCGCAGGCTGGCAGGGCTGCCCTGTGCCAGCCACCGCAGGCAGAGGCTCACCCGGCACCTTGGCATGCTCCTCCTCACCAGGCGTGAAGTCCGTGGCAGCTTGTCCCAGCACCGCTGCAGGCAGGCTGCCTCCGCTCCCAGCCATCTGCTCCTCCTGTGCTCTCCCAGCTCCAGAGGGGGACACGGCCACACCTGGAGCGGGATCTCAGTGGCAGCAAGATCCCCAGAGACAACCCTGCTGTACAGCAGCCATTTGGGCTCCTCATGCCTTTGTCAGCTGGACCCAGCCTTCGGCCAGCAAACGCCAACACTGAAACGCCTGGGCCAGGCAGGATGGGCACAAAGCTGCCCCTTGTCAGCAGCACCAGACCCCGCTCCCCGAGGGGGCTCCCACCACGAGCCCCCGGCAGAGAGGAGGGATGCGGGAGGGGGAACGCTGCTCCCCGGGAGCCTGTCGAGTGCCTGTTCCCACCAGCCCCATCCCAAAGCATCATCCAAATGAGAGCCTGAAACACACCTACCAACCCAGCCTCCCAAACTCAGTTCACAGCGACAGGTTCAACACATGGTGGGATAGCACAGGGCCATAACCACCCCTGTGGGACATTTGTCCACGTGGGGAGCCAGCAGACCTCGAGCATCCCTTCTGGTCCCTGAAACTAAACCGAGATCTCGTACTTACTGCTGGGGAAATGGAGGTGCTAGCAATCATGAGCTGTTTACAGCCAATGACACCTTATAGCTTCAAAGTTGGCCTTTTTCTGGCCAGAAGCAAGATGAAACAGAGATTGTTATGAGCTAATGAGACACCACTTTTACCAGTTTTAAGTGGGTTTATAGCATTAAGCATGGAGCTGTAATTCCAGCAAGCACCCATAGCCGGGGCTTAACCTGGCGGCACATGGCCTACGTGACTCCCCAGCGCTTGCAAGGGCTCTGCACCAAGACAATAGTTGATTGAAGTCCTGCTCAGCCACAGCGTTTGCTTGCGGGGTGAGGCGAGGTCAACGGCACGGGCAGGG